CTGAAAGATCAGGGTTTGGTTCCTGGGTCACTCTTAGCCGCCGGACACGTGTGCCCCTAACATCCCAGCTGTCTGGTCGGGCTGGGGATGGATCCTGCATAAGACCCTGTGAAGGTGCCTATCTTTCTTTCTTTTTCTTTCTAGAAAGAAAAAGAAGGGTTAAGTAATCTGCCCAGGATCACATGGGTAGCCCGTGGTGGAGCTGACCTGAAACCCATGCAGGCCCATCAACAGACAATCCGTGCCTAGGTGGGTGTGTTCTCCCACTCTGAGTCCAGCTTGCTCCCTGGAGGCTGGTGGGAAGTGCCTGCGTGCAAGGCTGGTTGGGGGTATCCCCGTGCACTGCTGCAAAGGAAACCTAAGTCGGCCCCTCCTCCCACCCCTACACCCCCGAAATGGTGGCAAGTCCAGACACTAAAACATGCTCACAACTACCCACCCACACACCGCCATCTAAGCAGACCCAGCTGTGATGGCGCAGCAGCAGCACACCACGCGGCCATCTGAAAGATCAGGGTTTGGTTCCTGGGTCACTCTTAGCCGCCGGACACGTGTGCCCCTAACATCCCAGCTGTCTGGTCGGGCTGGGGATGGATCCTGCATAAGACCCTGTGAAGGTGCCTATCTTTCTTTCTTTTTCTCTCTTTCTAGAAAGAAAAAGAAGGGTTAAGTAATCTGCCCAGGATCACATGGGTAGCCCGTGGTGGAGCTGACCTGAAACCCATGCAGGCCCATCAACAGACAATCCGTGCCTAGGTGGGTGTGTTCTCCCACTCTGAGTCCAGCTTGCTCCCTGGAGGCTGGTGGGAAGTGCCTGCGTGCAAGGCTGGTTGGGGGTATCCCCGTGCACTGCTGCAAAGGAAACCTAAGTCGGCCCCTCCTCCCACCCCTACACCCCCGAAATGGTGGCAAGTCCAGACACTAAAACATGCTCACAACTACCCACCCACACACCGCCATCACTTCGTCCTGGAAAAGCTCCTCCTTCCTCCCCCCACAGAATCTCCCTAAAGAATTCCAGCCCAGACTGTTAAGCTGTCCCAACAAAAAGGGACCTGCGAGCTGGCCCTATTTAAAAGAAGAAATATAGGGCCCACAGGGAAGGGATAGCCATCAGCACCCTCTCTCTCCCTGGCATGCCTCCCAGGCCATCAAGCTCTCAGCCCCACAAGGGCATCGGCTCTGTGGCTCTAACCCAGCATACCCCAACCCGCCACCAAACGCCAGGCCCAGACTCCGGGAGGTGCTCAGAAAAGACAGGCGTGCATGAAGCCCTCAGTTCCTTCTGCAGGAGCACACAAATGCTCCCTGGCGGGAAAGGACGCGATGAGAACACGTCTGAGATTGCTCCATAAACACGCTTCCTGCAGGCCGAGGCGGCCCGCTGCCCTCTGAATTTCTCAAGAACGAGAACCTCAGACATTCTTCTGCTTTTGGAGCCTTGTGAGCCTCCAGAAAGCCCAGGCCTAACCTGGGCAAGGAGGAAACACTTCATAAACAAGACAGCCACATTCTGGGGTGCAGAGGCCTGGCGATCAGGCTAGAGAAGCCCTCACGCTGGCTGTGCAAGTCCCTTACACTCCCCGAGCCTCAGTTTCTCCAGCCCTCCACTCCTGGGCTGCTGGGAAGACTGAATAGGAGAGGTACCTGGAAGCACCTCATCAAAAACAGCTCTTCTTATACAAAGACAGACGAGGTTCACCCACATCTTCTACCAAAAGGCTTTACGAAGTCAGGGGCCTATTCCACTACCTCCTGCACTGTCGGTTCAGCTGTAGGAAGAACGGGAAGGGGAGACAGAGCTGACCAAGCAGAGGATCAGAAACAGGGAACTGGGCCGGACAGCGCCCCCAGCAGGGCACCGCGGAGAGCCAACAGCACACAAAAGGAAACTACCATCGTCCAGAACTTCTGACCAGCAGCTTTACTTCTTCACTTCTCCAAGGCCCCTTCTGGACATCTCGGGAAAAGCCACAAAGAGAAGGTGGCGGGAGCTGCCAGGGTGCTCCGGAGAGGACAGAGGCAGGCCGATGGGAGGGCAGGAGGGAACACAACCAGAGCGTGTCTGGCTGAGGGAAGGAAACAGCGGAGTACCAGGAACAGCACGATCGCAGCTGCTCCACGGCCCACCCGCTGGCTAGCCGGAGGCCACTTCCTATCGGGGCATCTGTGACAGGGCTGGCCCCTGGGCCTACCTAAGGTAGGTGGGACACTTCCCGGGACCTGACTCCAACCTGCCGATGTCACCATCGCACACTGCCCCCTCACGCGCTCCTGCAGGACAGGCTCTTACACTTGCTGAGGGCATGACTCAGCCTTGCCAGGAAAGTGTTTCCAGGGACAAGACAGCGGCAGCAGAGTCCTGGGAAGATAAGGAGGGCAGCCACTCTCCGTGCTGGGTGTCCAGGAGAAAGGTTTTGCTCTCCCAGGGAGTCTCAAGGTCACCAGGTTAGAGGTTAAACAAAAAGAGCAAAAGTAATGGGGCTGGGTGGAGGGTGTAGAGGTGGTACAGTTGGACCCGCATGAGAAAGGTCCTGGTTTGCGCCCTGGGCCCTCCCTGTACACACCAGGTGCACGTGCGCTCATGGCCATGACCTGGCTGAGATGGACGGTGGGTCCTGCTGTCTGTCTCTCTTTCTTTCTCGTGGAAGAAATAAATAAATAGAAGACTTTTTTAAAAATTTAAAAAGAAAACAAGTGGGCAAAAGAAAGAGCCTGCCTGTCTCCGGCCTGCTTCCCCATCTGTAAAACAAAGGGGCTGATGAGATGGCCTCCACCATCTCTTCCTGCTCCAAGGCTCGATGTTTTAAAGGCTTGACATTCAGCTAAACCACTCCAGGCCAGTGTCTGGCGCTGACACTGTCCCAAACATTCAGAGCAGAACCTCGAGTCATTTCCAAACACTTCTGGACTATTTCATTGGAGAATTCATACACAGTTCATCACCCATAAATAAAGAAGCGCTGTCTCTCAGATTCTGAATATCAAAAACGTGACAACGACCATCCACCTTGCTGCGTGGGCCAAAGATCGCTCGGGCACGCACACCAGTGCAACAGTTGAAGCCTTTTGCAGCCAGTGTAGAAACATGGCCACCAGGGGGCACTGCCTTGAAAGTAATCAAGAAGAAACAAAAACTCTTTTTGGTGTTTTCTTTTCCTTCTTAAGCTGAAGTGACAAAACATCTACAGCGTCCCTAACGCAAACATGGAGCAGGCTTCCTGGGGTTCTAGAATGGCCTGGATGCTTTCTGCCTTCTCTCTTTGAAGCCAATATTTTGGCCCAAAGGAGGCAACCTGACTTGGAACACAACTCCCCAGGAATTACTGCTCCACTCCCAGTTTTCCCCAGCTTACCCTGAACCCTGCCCCCACCCCAAGACAGAGGGATCCAGAAGAAGAGCAAGGTGATCTGGAGCCGGCTGTGAGTCTCAGCAAGGACCATTCTTCTAGAACCTCCTAATTACAGAGCAAAACACACCGACCCAACAATCAGCCTCAAGCTGCAGCTGCAGACACAGGATGACACAAATACAGTCCTCAGTAAAAAGGGTACAAGGTATTAACTGGGGCTTCTCAAGTCTCCTGTGCCTGCAGGGGGAGCTCCAGCACCTCACATCAGAACTGGGCTTCCAGAACATGCCAAAGGGGCTTCTCCAAATCTCTTCGTTGTCTGGGGGACTCAAGTGCGTGTGTCAGCCACGCAACGTTCAAGTGTCTTTATTTAATGTACCAAAGCCCCAGGACCCATTTTCAAAGCTCTGGCTGTGCGTTCTTCCTGGTTCCCTACCGCCATGAAAGCTTGCTTTCTCCTAGGGAAGCCGGCCATCCCAAGAGGCACAGAAGTCAGAGTTCTTTCATAGGAGCTGCAGAAGAGCTCCTGTGGGCTTGCAGGGGCCAAAGGAGCAGCAGGTACCACGATAGGTGTGGAGGGGCACAGAGGTGGTGCCAGGCCCGCCTGCACAAACCAGGCTCCAGGGCTAGAAAACCCAACTGCTCAATTCAAGATGCTCAGAGACCCAACAGGGGTAGAAATTCAAGTGGGACCCATTTCCAAAAGCCAAAGCTACTGAGTGGACACACTGCACAACAAAGGTTTCCACCTGGAGTTTACAAAAGGCTTCAGTGGCTGTATTCACCCAGGCTTTCATTGAGAATGGTCTTTTACTAACAGCAAAGCCACAGTTGGAGGACAAGGCAAGGCACACCTGACGCAAGCCCCAGCACTCCTGTCACTTATTAAGAATGCCATCTATTAAACCCATAAACCCCCACTCCACCACTGAGCACCAGCATGAGGATGGGGGCTCGGCCCAGACGGCGGAAGGTCATTCTACACCACACGCCTGCATCCTGCACCTTCTATGGCCACAAGCTCCCTCGCCGCGGTACCCTAGGCAGGGCACCCCACCCCACTGCTGATCTGTCCCCCTTCTCAGACACGTGGCTCAGAATTACCACCCTGGCCAATTCGCAAGGTTGCTGGAGGTTCTAATGAGACAGCAAATCCCCACTTCCATGCCAAGTATCGCCACTGCCTTCCAGTCGGCTTACCCCAGTGACATGCAACGACAGCCTCAAGAGCTAGGCATACACGGAGCACACAGTAGGTGGCCCGCAGACGTTGCTACCCTCACCCGCTAGAGGGAAGGGGACTAAGGAAGAAAACACTCCGGTCCCAAAGTGCCCCCGAACCCCCAGCAGGCAGCGTTGAGTTCCCGAATTTCCCTGGTCCCTCTGCCAGCCCCCGGTGGCGCTCCCACTGCGCCCCGGGCATCTGGGGGCCTCCCAGGCACAGTGCACCTGAGGGCCCGGGTCCGAGCCACCTCGTCCACACTGGCCACTGCTTGCCTCGAACACAGCCGGCGGCCCCGGTGGCCACCTGGCTCCTCGGACTCGATTTGCCCGCGCACGGCTTCTTTCTGTGTGGCTCTAACCTCCCAAAAGCCCGCGGAGGCTGAGGCCGGGGTCCCCGGGTGCCGGAGCCGCGTCCCCTCTTACCTGCACAGCTCAGCGAAGGCCTGGAAATTGAGCTTCTTGATTTTCTTCTCGCTCAGCCAGTAGCCGACTCGCTTCCCTTTCAGGAAGGTCTGCATCTTCCTCCTGGGGCGGGGAGCCGGGGTCCGGAGGAAATCGCCCACAGGCCGAGTCTGGCGGCCCGGCGCGCGCCGCGAGCGTGCGGCC